AAAAACCTAAGAATATTTTACTTTTATTAATTTTAATTTTTTACCTACGTGACTTTACCGAAAAAACCTACGAATATAAAAGACGCCGTGACCACTCACCCGACACTAATCGCTCGTGATTTTTGTCGACGTGCGAGAGGGCGCATACAATGCAGCCTCAAATCCACACATTTGTATCTCGCCGTGTGTCTGCATCTTTCTGTTCGTCCGTCTCATCCCGTCTGTTTATGATTTGTATCCTTGTGTCAGTGTTCTTATCACTCTCGATGTGCTTCCTTGTCCCAAATACAGGTCACCAAATCACGCTGCCCAGATTCCAAGAACACAGGATGAGATGTTACTATCCTTTGTGCAAGCACTTCCAAGAGTTCATGAACAGTGAGCCTGGTGAAATTTGGGGAGCGCATCGTCAGTAGTGTACCTTTTGTTCCTCGGGTGTTTCGGCCTTTCACACTATACACCCTCCCCAAAGGCGGCCAGCGACAGGGTGATCAATCCTACGCTTGCTTCCCATTCCCAATTAGTCATAGGAGTTGCCTTGTTGTTGATAGCCAACATCCCATGGGACTATGCATGGCAGGGGCGTCCGCCTCCCTGAGTCAAGCATTGTTGACCGCATACCTCCTGGCCCTCTCACTTCGGGGCCCAGCTGGGGTCTTTCTTCTACATCCAGAGCCTCTGCCGCCAGGGTACTGAAGAATGGTAATACAGTCCCGATGACTGACAGTTTCAGGAGGCATTCATCTAGCTGCGGATTGACAAAAGTACCGTGAAAAGTATTCTTGGTTTTTCAGTAAAGTCACGTAGAAGAGAAATAATAAAATAAAATTATCACGACGTTTCGATTGCAACACAAGCAATCGTCATCAGGTGTGAAAACCACAGCAAGAAAATTTGCTGTGGTTTTCACACCTTATGATGTGAGAATAAAATTTCGTATTTTTATTATTTTATTATTTCCCTTCTACGTGACTTTACCGAAAGAACCAAGAATATAAATCCCTGCAGTCACGAAAGCTTTAAATCGACATTTCACTGTGAAATGGTTAACAGTTTGACCCTGAATAGGCAGTGCCCCCTACAGACATTGAAATGCCAATTCGGCTTCGTGCGCGTGAAACGTGCAGTAAACAGCGCCCCCTGGAGACACGAAAACGCAAAAACTTTCTAAAAGCCTACAACACCTGGTATTCCCAGGCGGTCTCCCATCCAAGTACTAACCAGGCTCGACCCTGCTTAGCTTCCGAGATCGGACGAGATCGGGCGTATTCAGGGTGATATGGTCGTAGGCGAGAGCTGAAGTCAGATTTAGTAAACTTATCTCCAACGTTAATTCTTCCGGCTGATACGGCTGATGATATTTTCACAGCGAGTAAATGTTACCCACAAAATTCGTGTTCACCACCAGCTACAGATGGCGACCCCAGAGCTCACTTCTGCCACTGTCAAGACCACAGCCCTTAGGGCGCCGTGGCTCTCAGCGTCACGGTGCAGTGAAGCTGCTGAGCTGAGTTAGAATCCCGGGCACGGCTAACATCGGTGGTGTCGAGTGATATTCGAACCAGGTCAGCCTCTCCCCACCCCCACCACTTCCCCACCAACCCGCACCGTCCACCAGCGTGGTGAAGTATGCTCAATCAACCTCTAGGACAGGACAGACAAGGTCTGTGGGGGTCTTCATCAATCAGCGGATTAACAAAGTCTGTACGTTATGGTTTAAACACACACACACGTACTGTATATACATATGGTGACAACTTTTACTCTGAGATAGCTGCTCAGAACTGAGATGTTGCTCCAGAGCTGAGACCGCCACTTGGGTTTGCACCGAAACGTCTTGAGTTGAACTCCACTGTGAATGCGAGGATGACTGCAGGCGGTGTCTTCACACAATAAGTTAAGTTACTTTGTCCAAAGGTGGGTCACAACTAGGTTGGAGATAAGTTTACTAAATCTCCTGTAGCTCTCGCCTATGACCATATCACCCTGAATACGCCCGATCTCGGAAGCTAAGCAGGGTCGAGCCTGGTTAGTACTTGGATGGGAGACCGCCTGGGAATACCAGGTGTTGTAGGCTTTCAGAACGTTTTTGCGTTTTCGTGTCTCCAGGGGGCGCTATTTACTCCACGTTCCACACGCACGAAGCCGAATTGGCATTTCAATGTCTGTAGGGGGCACTGCCTATTCAGGGTGAACCTGTTAACCATTTCACAGTGAAATTTCGATTTAAAGCTTTCGTGACTGCAGGGATTCATATTCTAGGTTCTTTCGGTAAAGTCACGTAGAAGGGAAATAATAAAATAATAAAAATACGAAATGTTATTCTCACATCATCAGGTGTGAAAACCACAGCAAATTTTCTTGCTGTGGTTTTCACACCTGATGATGATTGCTTGTGTTGCAATCGAAACGTCGTGAACAATAAAATTACATTAAAACCGTTGGAATACCTTATACCAGGGGCGGTTTCTTCATTAGGGCGATTGGGCGACGCACCACCAATGTCATTCAACCACAGTCACGCTAGCCGTCACTGTCAGCCTCTGGATATAGTCCAATCAGCGTCATGTCACGTTCTGTGGAGTACCGCCTCTTTTGGGGCGATTTCACTCCGGCTGAGAATCGCCCCGAGTGGCCCCATAGACTTACATTCAAAGATGTTTTTTTTCGAACGGGGGCGCTCCAATGCATTCTCTATGGCTCCGGGAGGGCAAGCCCCAACGTGCTTACGTCATCATACGTGCTTACGTCATCATACGTAAGCACGTTTCATCCAACAATATAATTTATCGCTACCGAGTGGAATCTTTAATAAAATAAACTTGAGTGGTTTGTTTTAATAGTGAGTATATAAACAAACAAGATGTATTGTAAGAGTCACTTTATTTTTCATTAATATTAAAGAAGTGAAGTTGCCTTTACATGCTTAAGCTGTTAATTTATCCATTGCATGGGTGGACCTTATCCTTATCAATCATCCAGACATTTGCCCCCCCTGAGAGATTTTGCAGGAGCCGCCACTGCCTTATACCACATGTGAGAAATAGCAAAACTAGTCAAGACTCTCCTGAGGCCTTCTTGTCGTGCCGAGCAGACCTCAACATTTACCATTCCACTCCTGAACATATCACCACGGGCAAGAATCGAACGACAGGACATCTCTAACCACAAAGAACACCGCAATGCACGAACCGTCTATGCAGAGACCCATGTCTGACCATCTGAACAATAAACCGAACTTTCCAAGGACAAAATTCTGAGTCTCCCTACTCTCCCTGACTGTAGTCTCTATCAAGGCAGCAATCGGCATCTGTCTTTCTCTACAGGTTGTTTTCGAGTTCAAACGTGCCCTGTATATACTTAAATATATATAAAGGTGTTGGTTCTGCCTCCTTGATCCTGCCCGAACCTTCTAGAAGATTCTACCAAATCATATGTGCCTTGTACTTCAACTACTACAACTATGGTATGTACATTGGAATTCTTTCGCACCGTACGTAGCCAACCGTGCTTATCAGGGCTGCGGGAAATGCTCAACTTTTCCTTCTGTATGGAGATACATTGAGCAGCAATTATGAACGAATGTCCAAGTTGCAAGCCGGAGCTGCTGGCTTCAGAGAATGAAGACCGTGAGTAACCCCCCCCCCCCCCCCCCCCATGCTCTCAGTGAACGCGCTCGCAGTCGACACGACTTCACAACGCGTTCCACCGCAGCCACATTTTTTGGGGGGATTCTTTGAGCCAACATCAAATCAGCACCTTTCCCCACTTCTGCACAACAACAGAAACTCAAGCCAATCCCAGCTCCGTCACGTACGCCCCCAGTTCGTCTCTTAGCAGCTTGGCAGGCCTTTGCCAAGTCGTTTCTAGAGTACTGCACAGGCTGGTCCAGACGTCCTGTGACCCCCAGATGTAAGTATCTACAACTTAAGTAAGGTTTATTTAAAAGAAAATTGAATATGCAAAGAAAAATCATTGTAGGGGTCGATTAATTGGGAGTCACGAGAATTATGGACCGCTGTTTGCAGTGACTCAGCGGGCATTACAAATGAAATATAGAAATGTGACATGGCTATTTTTTAAAATTTTACCAGGTAAGGGCCACTGAGCTGTTATTCAAAAGCGACTTCGCCACATATGATAGTGGAAACGTATCGCATGTTGATTCTAAATGTGCAGGGAAAAACCAGAGGACCCAGAGAAAATCCACGCGACCACGGGGAGAACATGCAGACTCAAAATAGACAGCCCGTGTCAGGTTCTGGATTGAACCCATGTCCTCCTGTATATCAGGCGAGGTCGTTAACATCTCACCCCCATGGTGCCCCACATATGGTGCATTGTCAAAGTATATTTATCGGCAGTGTAGGCGAACCGTATTTTTACATCAAATGTGTTTTAGATACCACTCAATTATATACTTTACATGCAGTATGATTGTACAGGTGTAGTGACATAGAATAGGTCACATAGCAGCATAGCGCTGGCTGCTGGCAGGGAAGGGGATCTGCAGCTTACAGCAGCCCTGACTGACAGCAGGCCACGTGATAGACCAGAGAGGGATCTAGGGGAAAGTTTACGAAAGGGCCCATCGAGAACCCGCTAGTAGGTTCCAGAAGGGGGGCGTGGCCAGGGCGGAGCCAGGCCACGCTGACAGTATAAGAGGGGCCTCTGTAGGGGACCTCGGCGCTGTCGTGTGCAGCGGGATCCCGTCGTGCTGCTGCTGGAGTCTTCACCGTCTTCTCCGTCTTCACCATCTCGGCGTGGCCAGTCAGGCGGTCTACCAGCTGCCCTGACTGGAAGCCGTAGTTACCAAGTGTTAACTGTTAGTGTCTCTGAGTCAGTCACTTCGCAAGTGCCCATCATGGGGGAAAAATGCTTTGCCCAGAATTTGGACAATCTTTCCTCCAATGGATTGTTTCAAAAAGCCACCAAATCACACGTGGTTGTTGTTTTTTTGCCTCATGGCAAGGGTTTTAAATAAAAAGAGATTCACGAAGTAACATCAACAAGCATTTATTAGGAAAAATCAAATGTCATTTATCTCAATAGAAATGAGCTTCACCAAAATCAGCATATGTGTTTACAACATACCTGTCAACCCATATGGTGTACCCGTATTCTTGTACAGAGACATTGAGTTTTCAGGTCCATACAGCGTGCAGTCCTTTCAATACGGACATTGTTTTGTCTATTTGTTTGTGTTTCTTCCTTTTGATGGGACTTTGTCGGATGAACGTTGAGATTTATAAGGGCACGGGGTGACCAACAAGGTCTGAATTGGTCTGTAATAAGGTAGGCACTGATAAGGGGTTGACAGGTATCTTATAAAATCCAGATTTTTTTTCCCCATATTGGTTCATTAAAAAATATATCCATAGAAAGACATGTTATCATGCACCAACAGACAAATCTGTGTAGTCAAGTTCAACACTTTGCTATATATTTTTTTTTATTCAATACACATGGGACATATAAACGACAAATCACTTCAGAGGTTTGCAGACGAAATTAAGCAGCAAAAATGTCTTGTGAGATTACATTTCTGCACGATACTTGGTGAAAATAGATGCTCTCTGCATTTGCAATGTGCTGCATTCTGTTCCAAGGAAAAAAGATAGTTGAAGTATCCTATCGAATTAGATTTAATAATAAAAAATAATCGTCTCTACTTCACAGAACAATTATTGTTCTCCCATCTGCACCGCCGATCCGTCTCAGGCCAGCTGACAGCACCGCGCCGATGTCCAGTCGATCCCACCGCACTGGCAGTGACACGTGCTGTCGTTTGGGATGTCCCACGAACCACACGCGCTTCCACATGAGCACGACAACGCGATGTAACCTGTGGGGGGTGGGGGGTATGGATACACGTCAACACATTCATGGGAATGAGTACACTGCAGTATAGCCGAAGTAGAGTCATTATCATTGTATCACTTCCTGGTGATCGAATCAAACCATTGAATCAATGCAGTCGATGAGTGACTGGGGCACTATCCTCTAGGATACTCATCCACGTAATGGTCCATGTCCCCCCACCAAAACCAACACCCGCTATTCGCCACTAAGAGATAGTGACGTCACCACGGTGGGCTGTGCTAGGCCAGGTGCACTTTGAGGCCACGTGAAGTGTCGAAGGCTCAAAACAAATCATCCCGTGCTAGAGTCCCCCCCCCCCCACACACACATCCCTCTCACCTGTAGGGCAACTCGCGGTGGCACCTCTGCTGGAGACGTTTCTGCAGGAGATGCGGTTCGTTGCAGCTGGAGTTCCAGGACTCCCAGGGGGTCCAGGAGGACCAGTGTTGCCTGGTTCCCCTCTCAGGCCGTTGTTACCAGGGGGACCAGCTGGTCCAGCAGGTCCAGAGCTCCCAGCTGGGCCAGGTGAGCCAGTTGGGCCCAGTGGTCCAGCAGGACCGACACTGCCCGGGTTGCCTGGCACACCTACAATCAGGACACACCGGCATTGTCTGGGTTGAAGTGACTATAGTTTTCAAAGGCAACGGGCCATGATAAAAATAGCAGTGGGCGGTGCGCCCTTGGGAAACATTTCCATTTCAATGTCCACTTTTCAGTAGATAGCGCACATTGGATTAAAAATATCCTTGCCGGTTGAAGAAATAAAGTCATTGTGTTTGTACAAACCGGTCCACCGGCAGGCAGTCGAACTGCAAGGATATGCTAGCAAATGGCAATTATAGATAATTTCACAGTTGCATTACAATGAGCATATTCAGTTAAAAATAATAGCGTTTGTTGGCAAACGTGACGAGCAAGTGTTCTCACTCGAACCAATAACCCGCGATGAATTACCTTGTGGTCCGGCAGGCCCATCCTTTCCAGGAAGACCTCGTGGGCCTCGAGTTCCAAAACAAATGCTGCAAGCACACACAGGTGGAGAAGTGAGAGGGCAGTTACAGTATTCCCTTTGTCACTGTAATGGACACCATTAGTCTTCAACAAGGGGTGCCCACGTTGGTGAGATCTTAACTACCTCGCCTGGTATACAGGAGGTCGTGGGTTTGATCCCGACCCTGACACCTGCTTATATGTTTGGAGATTGCGTGTATCTCTCTGTGGTCGCGTGGGTGTTTTCTCCGGGTCCTCGTTTAGAAAGATCCGTTTCGAGAATTCAGCTGCTATGCATTTCTACGTGTTAAGCCATTTCATTGCGCCAGGTCACTTCTGAAAAAGAGCTAGATAGCTCAGTGGGCCTTACCTGGTAAAATAAAAATAAAGGTTTTTTAAGTGTATCTTAAAAATGCTGGATTAACCTTTTTTCCCCTCTCGGTATCTAATCATAATTGGGCACATTCACGATACATTTGAATTTTGTAGAATAAAATTGGTGAGATTTTTTTTGTTAAGGATGTTTGCTGTGATTGAAAAAAGCAGTCGGGAACCTTAAAACTGCAGAATGTTTGCTGTCAATGTACTCTTGTGCTGTATTTAACATTGAACATTGATATAAGTAACACGTTTTTCATCCACAATGTGTAACATACGTTAAAAGTTACATTTTTTATATTGTACACAATAAAATGAAAAACAGCAATGGCAGCTGTACAATTATTATTCAACGAAATATTTTTCGTCTCTTGTGAGAGTTGTTTACATTAACTTGATTAAAGCTCAATACAATTAATATTGAAAACGTGATTACAGTTGAACCATAAGTTACAACACAAACTTTAGTTTACATCTAAGTTATCGTCCTGTCGTTGAAAACATTAGCAGAGTTGAATTTAATCGAAAACAGTGCTTCCATTACCTGCAGCTGTTGGGCAGGAGGTCTTCCAGTTCACTCTGTTCACAAAATAAAAACAAAACACACATTGTGAAGATTCGTGAATAGTCAAGTGGTGTATTAATAGTTGATTTGATTCAGTGGAAACTGAAGCATTCATCCAAGCAATGTCTCACAAACCGAGTTCTTAATAATCAGTATATCAAAGTACAGCATACATCAGGTCAAAGTTAGTTATACATTAGGTCAAAGTTAGTTAAAATTCTAAACACCTTAAACGCCATCAACGTCAGGCAATACACTTGCAATTAGGTTAAATACTGCATTGAATATTAAGTAATACGTCACTGTACATAATTATGCTCCTGAAAATGTGGTATTCGTTCCCATGTACTGGAAATGAATATTGTCATATGGAGTACATCATACGGCACAGCATTAATCGCGTAATATCTTCAAACAATGTGCATATTTAAAATATTCACCGTGGCCTTTTCGTTGTGGGAAACGTCGCTTTCCAAGGGACCGGCATGTGTCGGTCGAAAGATTAAGAGGCAGACTGCCAGAGTGCACAATACCGTCTTCATGTTGGCAATGATTTGGGACAGAACCCCCACGATGAGTGTCACTCTTCAGTCTGGGTGCAGGTATTTAAAGGGACAGCGTTGATAACCAAACAATCGTGTGGAAAATCACAACCGTTTGATTGCTCAACAGTATTTACACATAATGTGCATGGCACTCCCTTCGAAGCAGGGGTTTGCGGTTTATCTCGAGGATATTGAGTAACAAGATCTTACCACATCGTGGAGAAAAACTGAGTGAATACAACACAGAAAATCTATTCAATGTTTCTACAAAATCTTTGAAGACATTGGGAAAATCCCAATCGTTTGATTGCTCAACAGTATCTACAAATAATGTGCATGCCACTCCCTTAGAAGGAGGGGTTTGCGGTTTATCCCGAGGCGAAGGATATTGAATAATAAAATCTTACCACATCGTGGAGAAATACTGAGTGACGACAACACAGAAAATCTATTCAATATTTCCACAAAATCTTTGAAGATATGCACACACCAGCATGTTCAGCTACGCGTGTAGAAAAGGGTCAATTGTCAGGTGAAATCAAGTCATTCTTTCGTATGACAATTAAAACCTACATTTTACTACTGGGGGCAAAAAATAATGGCACCGAGTTTGGACGATCTTTGTGCTCTCACGGATTATGGAGAAAAGACGCCGTTCTAGATTTGAAGCTTTCGTGACTGCAATGATTCATATTCTTAGGTTTTTTTCGGTAAAGTAACATAGGTAAAAAAAGTAAAATTATTAATGAATTATTATTTTTTCTAGATTTGAAGCTTTCGTGACTACAAGGATTCATATTCTTAGTTTTTTTTCGGTAAAGTAACATAGGTAAAAAAAGTAAAATTATTAATGAGTTATTTATTTTTCTAGATTTGAAGCTTTCGTGACTACAAGGATTCATATTCTTAGGTTTTTTCGATAAAGTCACGTAGGTAAAACATTAAAAGCTTGTGTTGCCTCCGAAACGTCGTGATTTTTATTTTATTTTACTTTTATTAATTTAAATGTTTTACCTACGTGACTTTACCGAAAAAACCTAAGAATATAAAAGACGCCGTGACCACTCACCCGGCACTAATCGCTCGTGATTTTTGTCGACGTGCGAGAGGGCGCATACAATGCAGCCTCAAATCCACACATTTGTATCTCGCCGTGTCTCTGCATCTTTCTGTTCGTCCGTCTCATCCCGTCTGTTTATGATTTGTATCCTTGTGTCAGTGTTCTTGTCACTCTCGATGTGCTTCCTTGTCCCAAATACAGGTCACCAAACCACGCTGCCCAGATTCCAAGAACACAGGATGAGATGTTACTATCCTTTGTGCAAGCACTTCCAAGAGTTCATGAACAGTGAGCCTGGTGAAATTTGGGGAGCGCATCGTCAGTAGTGTACCTTTGGTTCCTCGGGTGTTTCGGCCTTTCACACTATACACCCTCCCCAAAGGCGGCCAGCGACAGGGTGATCAATCCTACGCTTGCGTCCCATTCCCAATTAGTCATAGGAGTTGCCTTGTTGTTGATAGCCAACATCCCATGGGACTATGCATGGCAGGGGCGTCCGCCTCCCTGAGTCAAGCATTTTGACCGCATACCTCCTGGCCCTCTCACTTCGGGGCCCAGCTGGGGTCTTTCTTCTACATCCAGAGCCTCTGCCGCCAGGGTACTGAAGAATGGTAATACAGTCCCAATGACTGACAGTTTCAGGAGGCATTCATCTAGCTGCGGATTGACAAAAGTACTGTGAAAAGTATTCTTGGTTTTTTCAGTAAAGTCACGTATAAGAGAAATAATAAAATAAAATTATCACCACGTTTCGATTGCAACACAAGCAATCGTCATCAGGTGTGAAAACCACAGCAAGAAAATTAGCTGTGGTTTTCACACCTGATGATGTGAGAATTAAATTTCATATTTTTATGATTTTATTATTTCCGTTCTACGTGACTTTACCGAAAGAACCAAGAATATGAATCCCTGCAGTCACGAAAACTTTAAATCGAAATTTCACTGTGAAATGGTTAACAGGTTCACCCTGAATAGGCAGTGCCCCCAACAGACATTGAAATGCCAATTCGGCTTCGTGCGTGTGAAACGTTGAGTAAATAGCGCCCCCTTGAGACACGAAAACGCAAAAACTTTCTAAAAGCCTACAACACCTGGTATTCCCAGGCGGTCTCCCATCCAAGTACTAACCAGGCTCGACCCTGCTTAGCTTCCGAGATCGGACGAGATCGGGCGTATTCAAGGTGATATGGTCGTAGGCAGAGACTGAAGTGACATGTAGTAAACTTATCTCCAATGCCAACTCTTCCGTCTCATAACGTTTGCACAGCGAGTAAATGTTACCCAACAAAATTCACCGCCAGCTACAGATGGCGAGCCCAGAGATCACTTCTGCCACTGTCAAGACCACAGCCCTTAGGGCGCCGTGGCTCTCAGCGTCACGGTGCAGTGAAGCTGCCGAGCTGAGTTAGAATCCCGGGCACGGCTAACATCGGTGGTGTCGAGTGATATCCGAACCAGGTCAGCCTCTCTCCACCCCCACCACTTCACCACCAACCCGCACCGTCCACCAGCGTGGTGAAGTATGGTCAATCAACCCCCAGGATCGTACAGACAAGGCGTGTGGCGGTCTTCATCCATCAACGGATTAACAAAGTCTATACGTTTTGGTTTAAATACACACACGTACTGTTCGTAAATATGGTGACAACTTTTACTCTGAGATAGCTGCTCAGAACTGAGATGTTGCTCCAGAGCTGAGACCACCACTTGGGTTTGCACCGAGACGTCTTGAGTTGAACTCCACTGTGAATGCGAGGATGACTGCAGGCGGTGTCTTCACACAAGAAGTTAAGTTACTTTGTCCAAAGGTGGATCACAACTACGTTGGAGATAAGTTTACTAAATCTGCTGTAGCTCTCGCCTACGACCATATCACCCTGAATACGCCCGATCTCGTCCGATCTCGGAAGCTAAGCAGGGTCGAGCCTGGTTAGTACTTGGATGGGAGACCGCCTGGGAATACCAGGTGTTGTAGGCTTTTAGAACGTTTTTGCCTTTTCGTGTCTCCAGGGGGCGCTATTTACTCCACGTTGCACACGCACGAAGCCGAACTCGCCTTTCAATGTCTGTTAACCATTTCACAGTAAAATTTCGATTTAAAGCTTTCAGTGACTGCAGGGATTCATATTCTTGATTCTTTCGGTAAAGTCACGTAGAAGGGAAATAATAAAAATACGAAATTTAATTCTCACATCATCAGGTGATGATTGCTTGTGTTGCAATCGAAACGTCGCGATAAATTTATTTTTTTATTTCTCTTCTACGTGACTTTACCGAAAGAACCAAGAATACTTTTCACAGTGCTTTTGTCAATCCACGACTAGATGAATGCCTCCTGAAACTGTCAGTCATCGGGACTGTCTTACCATTCTTCAGTACCCTGGGCAGCGTGGTTTGGTGACCTGTATTTGGGACAAGGAAGCACACCGAGAGTGACAAGAACACTGACACAAGGATACAAATCATAAACAGACGGAATGAGACGGACGAACAGAAAGATGCAGAGACACGACAAGATACAAATGTGTGGATTTGAGGCTGCATTGTATGCGCCCTCTCGCACGTCGACAAAAATCAAGTAGAATGACTTGCACCATTGGAACCTCATTTGCCAGTAAAAATATGATAATTGTTTTTTTACCCTTTTATCTGGCAACAAAACTGACACCTTTTTTATGAGGAGTCATGTTTGCATAGACCACAATACCTGCAGTCATAATGCAAACAAAAAACATAACTCTGATAATGTGCACTGTCCTTGAAGTTGATTGGTCCACACCAGTGGCGGCTCCTGCAAAATCTCTCAGGGGGGGCAAATGTCTGGATGATTGATAAGGATAAGGTCCACCCATGCAATGAATAAATTAACAGCTTAAGCATGTAAAGGCAACTTCACTTCTTTAATATTAATGAAAAATAAAGTGACTCTTACAATACATCTTGTTTGTTTATATACTCACTATTAAAAAAACCACTCAAGTTTATTTTATTAAAGATTCCACTAGGTAGCGATAAATTATATTGTTGGATGAAACGTGCTTACGTATGATGACGTTAGCACGTATGATGACGTAAGCACGTATGATGACGTAAGCACGTTAGGGCTTGCCCTCCCGGAGCCATAGAGAATGCATTGGAGCGCCCCCGTTCGAAAAAAAACATCTTTGAATGTAAGTCTATGGGGCCACTCGGGGCGATTCTCAGCCGGAGTGAAATCGCCCCAAAAGAGGCGGTACTCCACAGAACGTGACATGACGCTGATTGGACTATATCCAGAGGCTGACAGTGACGGCTAGCGTGACTGTGGTTGAATGACATTGGTGGTGCGTCGCCCAATCGCCCTATTGAAGAAACCGCCCCTGGCCCACACCTTAGACAGCTTTCCTTAGAGGGAAAAGGGTAAAAAAACAAATATCAAGAATGACTTGGTTTCACCTGCCAATGGACCCTTTTCTACTCGCATAGCTGAACATGCTGGTGTGCGCATGTCTTCAAAGATGTTGTATAAACATTGAATATATTTTCTGTGTTATCGTCACTCAGTTTTTCTCCGCGATGTGGTAAGATTTTGTTACTCAATATCCTTCGCCTCGAGATAAACCGCAAACCCCTCCTTCTAAGGGAGTGGCATTCACATTATTTGTAGATACTGTTGAGCAATCAAACGATTGGAATTTTCCATTGATTGTTTGTTTTGCCAACGCTGTACCTTTAAATACCTGCACCCAGACTGAGGAGTGACACTCATCGTGGGGTTTCTGTCCCAAATCATTGCCAACATGAAGACGGTATTGTGCACTCTGGCAGTCTGCCTCTTAATCTTTCGACCGACACATGCCGGTCCCTTGGAAAGCGACGTTTCCAACAACGAAGGGGCCACGGTGAATATTTTAAATATGCACATTGTTTGAAGATATTACGCGATTAATGCTGTGCCGTGTGATGTACTCCATATGAAAATATTCATTTCCAGTACATGGGAACGAATAACACATTTTCAGGA